ACCGACTCATCAGTTTCTCCATGTACCGTCAGTGACGCTGATGACATTTTTCTGCAGGGCAAGCATCCTCACCCTACTCTTCCAAAGCATTCCTCCCATTAACAGACACTCACTGCCTCCCAAACTCCCTGTGTAATCTTTGAAGTTGCTGTTGGCAACTGGATCCAATATAAAAACCAAACCCAACCCACTGCCATCGAGTCGATTCCGACTCATAGCAATTCCCATTGGGTTTCCGAGGCAGTAAATCTTTACAGAAGTGGATTGCCCAGTCTTGCTTCTGCAGAGTAGCTGGTGGGTTTTGAACCACCAACCTTCCAGTTAGCAGTCAGATGCCTTAGGCACTGTACCACCAAGGGCCCCTTGGATCCCACTGAGATGGCTCTTCAAAGAGCCCAGTGCTCAAAGCTGACATTCTTTTCAGTGAAGCTAACCTGTTGTTTGGTTTTAAGAAGACTTAAGGGGGTATTTAGGGTTTAAGGTTGAAGGACTATCTCAGGGCAACAGTTTCAGGGGTGCATCCCACCCCCACAGTGCCAGGAAGTAAGACACACTTTTGATTACAGTTGATTCTCATGATTTGCCACAGAGTTCTGTTCTTCAAAGCCTCCATGAACACTGAATTAGTGAATCCTGAACCAGCCACGCTCAACCATGCATGTTGGGTGACTTAAGTTTTTCAGAGCTCTGCGCCTACGCCTGTCCACGATTAACCAACCCTGAAAGCATGGCAAATATTAATTCAGGGGTTACAAATAAGTGTTAGCTAGAAGGCTACAAATATGGAACATGCAAATAGGAATGGATAATAATTATGATTCCAATTATGGTCCTGGGAGAGTGGTTTGACCTCTCTGTGCCTCAGTTCCCTTCAATTGTATGATGGGGACCATAGCAGGGCCTACCTCACAGGGGGTGGTGGGAAGGCAGGAGTTCACTCTGTGAAGACTCAGAACAGGGCCTGGCCCAGTCAGCACTGAGGAGCAGTTGGCAATGCCGTATGGGGCCATGGAGACCCCCCCCCCCCAGAGTCAATCAGTTGCTCTGGAGTGGATTTGATCTCATGGCTCCTGTGTACAGATGAGCACTGTGCCTCATAGGGTTTTCAGTGGCTGATTTTTCAGACCTAGATCACCAGGCCTTTCTTCAGAGGCATCTCTGGGTCCACCAACCTTTTGGTTATCAGCCAATCAGGTTAACTGTTTGCGCTTCCCAGAGACTCTCTGGAATCATATGAGAACCTTAAAATTCCCAAAGTCCAGGCCACAGCCCGGGAGCTCTGGTAGCATAGTGGCTAAGACACTTGCCTGCTAACCAGACGGCTGGCAGTTCAAACCCACCAGCCACTCCTCGGAAGGAAGGTTGGGCAATCCTACTTCCGTAGTGATACTGCCTCAGAAACCCAAGGAGGGGTCGCTATGAGTCGGGGCCGACTCGACGGCACATAACAACAACAACAACAACAACAACAGGCCACAGCCCAGACATCAGTCTGGAAGTGGGGCCCTGGCATCAGTATTTTTTGCAAGTTCTCCAGATGAGTTCAATATGCAGCCAAGTTTGGGTGCCATTGCTGGTCAAGAACCTTGGAGGCCTGAGGTCTGAGGTCAGAGAATCGACCTTGGTAAGGCAGAGGCAGGCAACCATTTTGTAGCCAGAGGTGAGGCTGGATGGGGTGGGGTAGAAGGGTGGGGGACTTCGCTGCCAAGGTGGGGGCTCTGGCTCCTGGGGGCTTTGAAGGCCTGGGGCTACCACAGTTCCTTCCACTCCCCCACCCCCACCTCAGACGAGGCTGGAGCCTGCTGCCTGTGCCCTGGGAGCCTGCGAGCAGGAGGCGGGAGCAGCAACTTGAGCCCCCGCTTGGGCGCCAGAGGGCGCTCGTGGAGACGCGCCACGGCTCCCTCCCCACAGCTGGTTCAAACTGGTTTAGGCAGGGTGCGGCCTTAGCCGGCTGCATTCCAAGCCTCAGGCTTGCCGCCTGCCCCAGGGGCTCCCTAAGGGTCACAGGGAGGGAGGCTGGGGGGCCCAGGCAGGGGCCACGAAAGGAGACACCCTTGGGCATGAGCCAAGTCCTGCCGAGAGGCTGGGGCGATTTCTAAAAATTCAGGCCTCTTTGTTTAAAATCCTATATTCTGTCTTCCTAGGGCCAGCAGTGGGGTGGGGCCCCTGAATTGGGGGTTAGTCTCAGGTGTGCATGAGGATTCACCTCCAAGCTTGTTAATAACATGCAGATGCCAGGGAAGCCCCCCACCAGAAGATTATGATTCCGTCTGGGTGGGACTCCAGGTACCTTTATTTTCAGCAAAACGTTTCTAAGGCATAACCACAAACTTAGAAAACAACAACATGGCCATTGGCTAGCCAAACTTGGCCCAGGATGTGAATTGCCGGCAGGCTCAGGAAAAACGCAGGCTACCAGAACCCTCAAAATGCGTGCCTTTCCCACATGCAAAACACATTCACCCCTTCACATCATCCCCAAAGTCTTAAATCAACTCCAAGTCCAAAATCTCATCTCTGAATCATCTAAATGAAATATGGGAGAGACTTTAGAATTCTGGAGCACAGTTTCTCTTCTCTGAGAACCTGTGGCATCTAGATACAAGCTACCTGCTTCCAAAGTGGACGGTAGGACAGACCACCCCCTCCCCGGAGCTCCAGAGAAAGGGGCCTGGCAATCAGCACTTTTAGCCACTATTCCAAACTTTTTTTTAATGAGTCATTTAGAAAATTCAGAAGTTTAAATATCAGAACAAACATTCCCTAAGAAATCAAACATTACAAATGTAATTGAAACCCATCTTGCTCTGTGCCGTGAAGTAGATTCCAACTTAGAGAGTGACCCAATTAGACCGAGTAGAACTGCCCCATGGGGTTTCCTAGGCTTTAACCTTTACTGAAACACATCACCAGGAGCTCAGGTGGTGTAGTGCCTAAGGCATTTGACTGCTAACCAGAAGGCTGGTGGTTCAAAGCCACCAGCCACTCCCCAGAAGGAAGGTTGGGCAATCTATTTCCATAGTGATATTGCCTCGGAAACCCAAGGAGGGGTCGTTATGAGTCAGTCCGACTGGATAGCACATAACAACAACTAGCACTTAACCATTGCACCACCAGGCTCCTTACCCTAGTGCATTTCTCCCCACCCTGGAACAGCCCCTTTCCAGATTGCATGTGCAGCCTTCTGGAAATGACCTTGGCCCTTGAACTCACCTGCCTGTTTCCCTGCACAGTCTGCTGTGTGGCCTACGAATCTTCTTCAAACTTTATGTTAATGGCAGCCCAACAGAGCCTTCTGCAGCTTGTCTTTTGTTCTTCACATTATGTTTTGACATTTATCCATCAGGCCACTCTGACTCATCTAAGGGTGGGGGTGAGTTTTCTGGTGGAGGTTCCCGGCAGGCGGTCGGGGGTCAGGACCAGTGGTGTTTCCTGAGGTGGGCCACATGGCCGGCCGAGCATCAGGGACATCATGACAGTGATGAATGGCCATGTGCAGTTCAGTGGGTTCCCATCAAACTCCCTTTCCTAAGCACCTGAGGTTCATGTCTTAGCCAAGAATCTTCCAGAAAACGACTCTGGCCTGAAGGCCTGAATGTTCAGGAATGGGGTGCAGGGAAATTAGCAGTGCAGCGGGCAGATATGGAGGTGATCTGCCTAAGAGGCAGATTGAGCCGGAGTTTAGACCTCTACCTCAGGTTCCCAAACAAAGTACAGGGCTTCCCACTAAATGTGGACTCCAGGTAAACAGTTCCCATATAATGCCGAGGAGGATGGCGGGATGGGGCTGAAGAGCACCTCTTATTTTTCTTTGCTAAGTCTGGTAACCCTATTCCCACCTCATGGTTGTGGATTATTTTGGTTTTTTTTTTTAATACTTTAAAAGAAAAATCGTCATAGGAAAAATCAGAACTCTAGATTTCCCTGCATTGATTTACCTTTTAGCATTTTTCCTCTTAGCACTGATTTTTGGGGCGATGTATCCCACGCTCGAGAGGAGCCCTGGTGGCGCAGTGATTAAAGCATTACGCTGCTCACGGAGACGTTCCACCCACTCGCCTCTTCGAGGGAGAAATTCGTGGCAGTCCACTTCCGTAAAGATGACAGCCTTGGAAACCCTATGGGGTAGTGCTACTCCGCCCTATAGGGTCGCTGTTAAGTCGGAATGACTCCAGGGCAACGGGTCTGGTTAAGGAAGGCTGCCGCCTTGGAGGAAGGAAGAGCGCCGCCAACGTGGTTTCCCTAATTTCCAGGGCCCTCGCCTGGCACAAAGTAGATGCTTAATTAAGTAGGGTGAGCCTTGGGCGGGCAGTTTTGAGCTTGAAATAAAAGGGGTCTTTTAGAAAGAACAGGGTTTTCAACCAGTTCATTCCAATACGAGCCCTGCGTTTCAACAAGAGATTCGGATTTAGACCAATTGCGGTGGCAATGCGAATTCTCAGCAGGAGGTCGAACCGGAATGTAGCTTTAGGATAGAGGTTCTTATCCTAGAGCAGTATTGGAACACCCAGGGATTCGGATTTAATTGGACGAGGGTGTGGCCTGGCTTCCGGCCCTTTGAAATCTCCCTGGGGGATTTAATATGCAGCTCAGATAGGAACCGCTCACTCCACTATGGGGATTCTGAGAAGGGGTGGGCCTCACCACTGGTTCTCAAACTTACCTGGTTGTTGAAATCATTTAGAGTTTCCAAAATTACTGATACCCAGGTCTCCACCCCACGCACTGTGAACGGTCTGGGCTTTGGAATTTTTGAAAGACACCCACACGGTTTCAATCGGCCAGTGAGTTCGCCAATTACAGCCTTACCCGCTAGTGCGGGGTCCGTGCGCGCCGCGCGCCGCTGGGTGGCGCTGCCCGCGCAGCCAGGCGCTCCCGGAGCCGGCCGCGG